CTTTTTTTTTTTAACTTTGGCAAAAGGCTCTAAAGTAACACAGAGATCGGGATCAAATTTGTGATGCCATGCATGATTCCATGTATTTCCATGTGACTGTTTTCTCGTCTCTTGAGAATGTGAATTTCCTTTAGAGGATTGACTCCAGAATTAAACCCTATTATCTCGTCCCCCTGATTACCCATTTCTCTTTACGGAAACAAAATAAAAGTGCAGTAACATGTAGTTACTCAGAACGTGTCTCAAATCTTTCAAATAAGTCATGCAAATTTTCACTGCATTTCATTTCATTTAAAAAATGAAATTCTTTTTTTCATTTTTAATTTTCTACTGAGAATCAATTAAAAAAAAAGAAAATCACAATCTACACAATTAAGACAGGCCTGGAAGCAACTGAGAATTTGGTACTGTTATTCACCGTGGTGGGCAGGTACAGTGTCTGATGCTATATGACATTAATTTGACAGTGTGCTTTGAAATGAGAACAATTATTTAGTTGACTTTTAAAAGACTACAAAATCATTCTTGAGTTCATAATAGATGTCCAAACATCGATCATTTGAAATTGTCACTATTTCACTGTTTGAGTCACATGTGAATTTTGGGGAGGCAATGAATGAATCTTGGAGTAAAAGATTAAACAGAATGGTCTTGAGGGAAAAAAAAAATGGGTTTGAGTTCAACCCACACAGCTGTTCAGAGAATGGGAGAGACTTCCACAGGTGATCTGTTTCCTTTGTATTTGGGGTGTGGGAGGGTAGAGAAAAACTAGAACAACATACATTTTACTACCAGAAACTGAAGAGAAGTGTGTGTACTTGCCCAGTGCTCTGAGAGGACTACGACCAGATTTAGTAGACAATTGCTTAATACATTTACATGCTTGTCCACTTGTCCATTAATTTTCCTCTTTCTTCAGTCACTCTGTTTACTATGCTATATTATCCTAGGTTATTTTTTTTCCATGTGTGAGTATCCTCATGAATATTTTTATGATTTCCTCTAAACGTTGGAGAGGAAAATATCTACACCTAATGCATGTTTGAGATTATATTTGTAACCAATGAGTAAATCAAATTATACTTTGGTGACTGAGTTCATCCTGCTGGGATTGACAAACACACTGGAGCTACAGATCACCCTCTTCTTGCTGTTTTTCATGGTTTACACACTAACAGTTTGGGGGAATGTTGGCATGATCCTCTTAATCAGGGCTGACTACCGACTTCACACACCCATGTATTTCTTCCAGGCTAACCTGTGCTT